TGTCTGCCCATGGTTCCACATTGCTGTCCCTGTGTTTGCCCCATCCAGCCATATATCCCTTCCCAATTTCACAGGCTCTAAATCAGCTTGAGGAAGTGAATGCTTAAGGAATGTAGCCGTGAAGAAATTATGATAGTAACTAATCTTTAGTTAATATCAGAACTGGATTCAAATCCAAAACTCTGCCACTTAGTAGCTGGCAAGTTACTTAACCTCTTTGTAATTATCATTCCTTGTAAAATGCAGATAATAATAACCCTTTCCTCTGTGGGTTGTTGTGTTGGCATATGTGCCTTATCTACTTTCCTGTCATGTACTAAGTGTTCAGTAAAGGGTAGCTGCTTTTAAATTATCATAATTATTATTGAATAGTCTTTCCTGAGTGCTTTCTACATGTTGGGTGCTATGTTGAGTACAAGGAAGCAATGTTGAACAAGGCTTATTTTGCCTTCTCGAGAAGCTTACAGCCTGGTGGTGGAGATGGCCATGTAATACTATGTAAGCACTTAAAACAAGATCAGTTAAGCAGAGGTGAGCAGAGTATGCTTTTTAGGGCCAACAAGAAGAATTAAAGTTTACTTTCTAGTGGAGGGTAGGAAAAGTGAGAATTGGGTGCTCTGGAGATCTAAAGGCTAAAGCCTAGAGTTTGGGATGGGGGAAGGGAATTGTCTAGATGATGCAGGAAAAGTAAGCAGGAGCCACATCACGAGAGCAGTGGGAAGCCAAGGCCGAGGTAATCCTCCGGAGAGGTGGAGGAGTAGGAAGAGAGAAAACAATGGGAGATAAGCAGGGTTGGTGGAGGCTCTGGACAGCTTCTCATTAGCAGTTTCTGGTGGTGGTCAGATTGACAGGGAGCGTTGTTTTCACCTTTCAGGCTGAAGATGAAGCCTTACTCTCAGAAGAAGACGACCCCATTGATCGACGGCCATGGACACAGCAGCACCTTGAAGCTGCAGACATCCGTAGGACACCATCGCTGGCCCTCACCCCTCCTCAGGCAGAGCAGGAGGTGGATGTGTTGGATGTGAATGTCCGGGGCCCAGGTCAGCACCCGGCCTCTTCCC